TCTGTTTGAGGTGATCTTTCTGTGTTGGGTATGTATTATTACATATTACTATCATATCTGGAATTGTATCTTTGTACACTTATTTATCATAAGTCATTTAAGTCATATTAAACTGGGCATACAGTGCGATTTCAGCAATGTTTTTGTTAAACACCAACTCTCACTGTGCGAGTAAATCGCATGCAATGTATAGGTATTTGGTGCTCATTACATCTAGCTAACGTTAGCTAGCAACAGTTTGCTAACCACAGTTAGCTATCTATGTTAGCTAAGCTATTAAACTTAACATCAACAGTATTCTAGAGTGGACAATGTCATTATCAGTATAAATGACTCATGTTTATTGAGAGTAGCATTGTAGTTGGTGGTAGACTTAGTCAATGCTAACAACAAGCTGCGGAAAATCACCCAGGCCAATCGCTCCAGTGAGACTACAGCGAAACAATTGGAGAGAATGGAGTGCAGACTTGATGCCACATTTCCGCTGTGGCCTCCAAATGTTGAAAAGCTGATTGATAACCCAGAAGACCTAGCTTTCTTGGCCAGCATGAAGAATGAGAGAGTGGCCACACTTGGTGTATTGGACAAAAAGCTGCAGCTCAAGAGGCGAGAGGAGCGTCAAGCTGCCGCACCAGCCAGGCAGTCCCGCTGTGAAAAGGAGCTGGAGGAGATGACGGCATTGTCCAGCTTGGAGTCGGAGAGTGATGAGGAGACAGAGGAGGATACTAACACAGTCTATCCACCATCTGAGGGCGAACCATCCCACAAGCATAAAAAGACTGGAATAAACGTCTTCATTCCACATGACATCCTTAGCCGACCAAGTGTCGTGTCACTGGCTACAAGGTTGAAGATGTCACCAATGCAACAGGCTGCCTTCACGGGTGGCCTTGTTGCAGAGTCAGGCGGTGAATGTACACATCTCCCTGCATCTGACCAGGTTGTCAACATGGCATTTGACACCACTGCGTCAAACACCGGCCATCTCACAGCAGACTGCATTGCCATACAGCTCTCACTGGGCCGACCACTGCTTTGGTCTGAGTGCTGGCACCACATTGGTGAGGTCCTCCTGAACCAGGTTTTCACAGTGAGGTCAATGTACGTGCAATGAACGTGGTCAATGACTGTGTCCCGATCGTGGCGTCAAGCCCACATCCGTCAAGTGGCGTGTTATCTATACGCATTTTGAGCTATCCGCGTGTATGTCCACGCCGAAACGAACCGTCATCTTTTGTATGTATTGTCTACGCCGTTAAATGTCCGAGTGATTCCGCGTGTATGTACACGCCGTTAAATGTCCGAGCGAAACGAAGCAAAATGTAGATCTACATCTGGGGAGCGATATTTTTTTTCCTAGGATGGTAGGGGAAGACTCATAAATGCTATTAACCCCAGTGACGGGTAGGTTTAGGGACGGGGTTGGGGTAGGTCATATATTTATATACAGTAATGTAACGTTAAGTCAACGGCGTTGATAAACACGCTGAAAAGCGATTATGTGTGTTGATAGCACGCCAAAAATGGAAATACGAATTGGCGTGTCATACATACGCCATTTCATGAGATCAGTCTGGACCATCTTACCATTAGGCCCTGTTAGTTGCCAGTGAGTTAGCCACTAGACATCCATCCGACATCCATCACTGCGGCACAAAATTCAGGGTAAGGCCACGTGAACATGTCCCATTGACCTCCATTCATTTTGTCTATAGGACAAATGAATGGAGAATCTTGAAAGTTGAATTCTTAGAAATGCCCAAGTTGCCCAAAGGGCAAGCAAACAACTTTTACTTTGATAACCCTATAGAATATGTTGCTGTATAAAAGTTCACTGTACTCAACATTCCCAGGTCAACCTTTTGGCAATTAGACTAAAAATTGCACATTTTTTGAAATTTCGCCAAAGTTCATGTGTTAGGTGGCACCCCTAAATCTCAATGGAATTCCTCAAAACTTTGCAAAAGTCATTTTTATGTTAATTGGAACAAAATGCAATGCCAGCCAAATTGATATTTTGAAATTAAAATTTCCCATTCAAATTTGATGCACCCTAATATATATATATATATATATATTTATATATATTAGTTACACTTTAGATTAGGGTCCAATTCTCACTATTAACTAACTATTAACTACAAATTTTGCCTTAAACTCCTAATTACTGCTTATTAATAGTTAGTAAGGTAGTTAAGTTTAGGTAATGGGTAGGATTAAGGGATGTAATATGGTCATTAGACATGTGCCGGTTTTCGGTAATGCGATAAATCGCGGTAATGAATATGCACGATACTGTTATCGTGGGCACTTCAAAATACCGTGAAAAATTATTGATCCGAATGTAGATTTTTAGAACACGCATCAACCGCTTAAAAAAACACTGCGTATATGCTGCGCAAAACACGTGCGCACTCTGATGTAAACAATCCCCACATGTTAAGCACTGTGTGCATGCGCGCAGTGCGCACTCTAGTCTAATGTAAACAATCCTCACATGGAGAAGAAGCATGGCGGAAGAAGGAACACTGCCGACGATTTATCCCCCTTCTAAAAGCAGGGCTGCCAACTCTCATGCATTCAGCTTGAGACTCACGCAATTGACACTTTTCAAACGCTCCCACTCCACGCATCCATTTTCTCACGCAGAGAAAAATCGCGGAGCAAAGAGGACACTGACACCGACAGACTAGACAGAGCAGGTTACTTTTGATATGAAAAAAAAAATCAGCTCTCAGGTTCTGTCCATTTTATTATGAAATTCAGACAATAAATACCGTTTTGGCGCTTGTAAATGTGACGTGACTGTAGCGCATCATCTGTTACTTTTTATTTAAAGATACAGTACAACTTACCGAAAGGTATATGCCTCATACATAATATCGATCAATCAGTGTTTTTCAACCACGGAAAGAGGTCAATAAAACTGCAGGAGAACAATTATGTCACAGAATGTTACCTTTACCTAAGGAAAGCCATTTAATGACCAGCACGTTAGTTGACTAGAAAAAATAGTTGACTACAGTATTTTGCTAAATATGTGGACTATATTACCTATTTATTATATTTTTACTTGTGTCATTATATAATTGTTATTATAATGAAAACCGCATTATATTTAATTTCTCTCTGTATGTTTACAGCATTATGTGAGAAATATTTTTTTCTTGAGAAAAATTTACATGCAGGCTATCTACTGTAGCCTACCTAATATTTATCCAAATGAGTCAATATTGAATCAAGATTGAAATCAAATCCAAGAATTGAATTGAAATCGTGAAAATTGTGTTAAGCAATAATACAAACAGTAGCCTACCAGTCATTGTACATGATGTAAACATTGTAACATGTTGTCACTAAACTTAATAAAATTCTGTTTAGTTACCAAATGTTTAGACAATCACAATTACACATTGTGATGCAAGTTGTTTTTTTTAGATACCCCCAATCCATCCGTTTCTCTTGAGCAATTAAAATATCGTGATAATACCGTATACCGTGATAAAAGCTCAATCAATTAATCGCAGCATGAAAATTTGATACCGGCACATGCCTAATGGTCATGCAGAATAAGGCATTAATATGTGTTTTACTAATGAGCATCTAAAGCCGCGTTTCCACCGCAATTACCAGGAACTATTTGTCCCAGGAACTTTTTTCATAGGAACTTTTTTTTGCCCCAGAACGGTTGCTCACTGCGTTTACACCGTGGACTAAAGTACCGGGAAGATTAGTCTGGTGACGTTGAACTGCGTGCGACTGCTCCTCCCAGTCTGCGCGTACTTGTTTTGAGTTTGAAGTATTGAGGAGATTCAAGCTGTGCTGTTTTTGTGTGCGATCTATTGGTTTACTAACGAGGTAATTAACAAAACGAACACTAATACCAAAGCGTATTCATTTCAGAAAGCTCGTAATGCTAGATAGACAACGTTTGTTATTAGCTATAGCGGACATGACCGTGAGATGGATGGGACGAACGCGCGCCATCCGGCAGAGAGAACAAGGTAAAAGAACCAATCAGCATGTTCAGCGCACAAGTCCCACCCCGAAAGTTCCTGAACTCTGAAAAAGTACTACCTCGCCAGCAGGGACTTTCTGGGGGGGAAATTTTTACCCGGAACTTCATTTAGACCCTGGTTCCTGCGGTGTAAACACACGGAGTACCACCCCAAAGTTCCTAGTTCCTGGGGAAAGTTCCTGCGGTGGAAACGCGGCTTAATATCCTAATAGTGCATGGCATGCTTATACACAACTAGTGAGCATTGGAGTCTAAACTGAAGTGTTAGCTATTATATTATAATAATAATAATATGCATAATGTGTATACATGTGTATTTTTTTATAATTACATACTTGTATTTGTATTACTTAGATATTAGAAATCAGTTTTTATTTTATTTTTTATTTTTCTTATGTGGGGCCTGTGAAAATATTGGCATGGTATGTGCAAATCTGAACTACCTTTTGTAGTTTTTTTATGGTTAATTTTCTAATATACACTCTGTATCATTGTTGGTTATTTATTCATTTTGCTGCAGAAAAACTAGCCTAAAGGACAAAGCAGAAAAAAAAAAATCCTTGTTCAAGTATGCATGACTGATTGAACAGGTGTATTCCTGTCTGTGTGCACTGAAACACAGTGAGCAACAAATCTTGTCCTTGAAAACACGTGTCCTTCAAGATTAAACGATTGAAAAGTTTAACAAAAACACATTTTTCCATCTAATTAAATAGTCTATTTTAGTTACCGTAGTTAACCGTTTCAGTGCTTCCTAGTGGATGCTCTTGTTTTAGTCTTTGTGGTTTGACACTGGTGATAGTTGGCTGTTTATACGGAAAGATCTGTCATTTAGGCAGTGTCCGAACACAGTGTTCTGAACACTGTCAACATCCACCTCGTCTCACCATGAAACGCATTGTGACATGCCAGGGTTGATAAAATGCTGCCATTTCTCATTAGAAGTGACACCACGACCTCTTCTGTTCTTCTTTGTTTACAGGTTCAACTACAGATCGACTCATCATCTCACCACTAACGGTTTTTATGAGTTTCTCAACTGGTTTGACGAGAGGGCCTGGTACCCATTGGGCAGAATAGTGGGAGGGACGGTAAGTTTATAATATATATAAATATGGTAAAATTATTATGAATAATAAATGGTGTAGAAGTATTGTTCAGTTCATTGTTAATTTCTGTTAACTAAAGTAGTTAAGTAGAGCTGCACGATTAATTATTAAAAGATCGCAATCTCGAATTAAATACCCACGCAATCTCATTCCTAAGTGACAACGATTTGCATGTCTATTAAACCTCTGACAAAATCGCACAGAATATTAAAATCTGTGTTCGAGCAGTTTCATAAACAGTCTTTTCAACTTTTTCAACCAGTGTAGGCCTATCGTTATTTCTGTTACACACACATATATATATATATATCACAGAAGAACTGGGATAAGGTTATAGTTCGGATATAAACACTGTCTACGGAAGCTATCAAAATAGAGTAAATCACCTTTGGCGACAAGTGACTGTTAAAAAAATGTTTTTGTCATTGAATCAATCATTCAAACCAATTTTTGAAAAATTCATTCAGATTCATTAAACATTTTAAATAGACCACAGCAATTAGCATTTTGTTAGAACCTCTAGTAAATTACATGTTATTTTGTTTAGTTGTCTGTTCAGAATCATGGAAGAAACTAGGGGTGGTTAATCTGTCTGATTTCCCGATTCGATTCGATTACGATTATTGAAGTCCCGATTCGATTACAGTCGATTTTCGATTATTAACGATTCTCGGTTAGTGATTATTGATTTTCCATTTCACAACAGTAAATGAAAATACACTACAAAGTGATTGCAGTATTAAAAAAAGTCAGCTGCTGAATTACTTAACTCTTTTATTGAGTAACAACAACTTAAAGCACTTTCTGTGTCGTGTATGTAGCTTATGTTCTGTAGAACATCAACATGAATACATCACATTGTGTTGTGACTCATCAAGTTGAACTAAACAATAACAAATAAATGAAAGGCTTATTTCCTTTAGGAAGTAGATCAGAACCAACATACTGTAGAAATTGGACAATTTTCTTCTAGAAAAACAAGGTGTTGTTCAGGTGGAGGAAGACTGCAGGTTGCAGTCGAAACATGTCAAGGTAAAGAAAAAGTTTTCTCCACCTGAACACTTTGTCTTTCTAGAAGAAAATTGTCCAATTTAATCATTAAGAAGACAAAATGAACATTTTTGAACAGCTTACTGTAGCTTCAGCTTATATACTGTACTGTAGAACACAGTAACAAAATGCAACACTAACTAGACAGGCCTTTATAATTTAGTGATATGTTGTTCTTTGAGTGTAGGCCTAGAGTCTCTAATCTCTAAAAATCTCCAAATGCTCGACGTGAAACTGCGGTCTTCCGTCCGACCTTTTACTATCGTGTCAATTGATTTTGATATGCGCGAGGGAGAGAGAGACCAAAACAGCGCTCGTGTTGTTTGAAGACGTGAGTGCGCGCGCGCGGCCGGGGCTCTCTCTCTCGCTCTCTCTCTCTATCTCTCTCTGCTCGCGGCTGTCAAGCGCAGCAGTCATTTTTTTCTACATCCCTCACCGATCAAAAAAGGCTTTGGCGGGACAAAAATGTGCTTTGGTGGCCATATGAAACGTGTCATATGGCTTCTCATATTTGTTGTGTTTTCCGAAATATTTTAGTTTTATTCCACAAAGCTTACAAATAGTGTGGCTCTTGTCCAGCTCCTTTCCCCCCTTCAACTTCACAGAAGCCAAAATATTTCCACACGTCAGCTTTTAACGAGGAGGGTGTTTGGATATCGCACTCAGTCATCGCGTCTCTGTTATGTGCACAACACAGACGGTCCGGGCACTGCACTTCCGCGCTTCAGAGTTCCGTCAATATATTACGTTATTATAAATATATATATATATTTTTTTTTTTGAAAATCGATTTTTTACATTTGCGAATCGATTCAGAATCGTCCACGTCCGCATCGCGATGCATCTAAGAATCGATTTTTTCCCCCACCCCTAGAAGAAACGTGATCTCTATTTGAAACCAAAAGAAATCGTGATTCTCAATTTATCCAGAGTCGTGCAGCTCTATAGTTAAGTATTGATCATAAATGGAACCTAATTGAAAAAGTGTTTCTTTTCTTTTTTCTTTCCTTTTTCTTATGAGCCATGTTTTGAAGCCATTGTAAAATATACTCATATCTGAGTGGTACTTTATTTTTTCTCTATTTAAATCAATTCTTATTTAACACAAACGATTCATCATTTAAGCCTTATTTTATGATCGATGCATGTGAATCAACAGGACTTTTAATCTATGCGTCAAAATAACAAGTGATTTCTGCCATTCACACCCCACCACCAGACTATTTTGAGAAAGAAAAAAAAAATTCTTTGCCTTTAACTTCACGATTCAGAAATATGACTACACTAATTATTTGTAGTTGAATGCTTGATGTCCACATTGTTGTTGCTGCATTCTTATGCCGAATGTTTGCATTCTATACAGTTGCTTGTGAGTCAAGTTCTGCTCTGCAAATTGCAAGTTCTGTTTTGTCTGCATTTCGACAATGGTTCTTGTTAAACCCCATAACCTCTGTATGATAAAAATGCAGTTAAATGCATGCCAAAGGTTGTTTTGTGTGCAAGCTCCTATGGATAGACAGCCTCCGGATGATTTCTTCTTGAAAACAGCATCTTTCGTCCCTAAATATGGCCACCCCCTTTAACACTCCCTGTCACTGACTGCGCAGTGCTGCTGAACCTAATGAGTTGGCTGGAGAAAGTTTGGCTAACGTTTGACATCTGACAGCTCTGGTGTTGGAGCTGTAGGGGGGCTACAGGAGGCAGGGAACAGCATCTGTTGTTGTGTACAGTTCAAGCAGTCGTTATATACGGCCTTCAGAGCAGGTTGGTCTGTTTCCAGAGCAGCCTGCAGACTCGCTTGTGAGATGAAAAAAGAGAGGGTGGGATTGTGGAGGTAAAGGACAGGGTATTTCCTTTCTTGCTGCAGGTTAACTGCCAAATTCAGCTTCAAAAGTGAAAATTGTCATTTACTCACCCTCATGTTGTTCCAAACCTGTATGACTTGTGATGGAACACAACAATATATTTTGAAGAATTATTTTTATTCATAAAATGAAAGAAAAGCGGGTACAAAACAACAATGGAGACCATTGACCTTAATTGTATGGACTTTTTTTTTTTTTTAAATGTCCTAGACAGTTTTTTTTTTTTTTAAATGTCCTAGACATTTTTTTTTTTAAATAATTTTTGGGAGAACTATCTCTTTAAGTTGATTGATTACAAGGCTCCTAAGGGAGTGCTTGTGCTAAGCTTTTCATTATCTCCGTCTTACGGCCAATCAAATATTTAGGAATGTTTACAGGCTTTCTTACAGATCTTGATTTTATTGATGAATTGCTGCAGGCAAACTTCTTAATCAATTTTGCATTCGATTGCAACTCTCATATCTCGTCTTTTGCAGGTGTATCCTGGTCTGATGGTGACGGCGGGCTTGATCCACTACATACTGAATCTGCTTCATGTGACTGTGCACATACGTGACGTTTGCGTGTTCCTGGCCCCCGTCTTCAGTGGCCTGACTGCCATCTCCACCTTCCTGTTGACGCGGGAGCTGTGGAACCAGGGTGCCGGGCTGCTAGCAGCGTGTTTCATCGCCATTGTACCCGGCTACATTTCACGCTCTGTGGCCGGCTCATTTGACAACGAGGGCATTGCCATTTTTGCCTTGCAGTTTACCTACTACTTATGGGTTAGTTGGATTAAAATGTAACAATTTGTGTGTGTTTCTCTTTATTTGTTTGTTTTTTCCTCTTCTTCAAAACTATCAAGTTTAATGATGTGAAATGATTGATAATCATAATCGGTTCACACGATCGGTCTGAATCATTTGTTGATGAATCTGAATGATAAAGTTCTCCTGATTGAATTCTTTTGACAGTTACATCGGTTCTCAAGTTAACAGCTCACTGGAAGAGAATATTATCAATGAATAACTTTAAATTTTAGCCTGTTCATAACAGAATTGTCATAGGACTTCAAAGGACTCTGAATATAGAGCATGAATCACAAGGACTACTTTTATAATGTGTTTATAATGGTTTAAGGTGCCCATTTAGAACTGTTCTAAAATGAATGAATATACATTTCAGAAACTCTAGCGCTGTCCCACAACAGTCGAAATGATGAATTAACCTTGATAGACATTCATCACTTTTTTTTTTAGCTGAACAACGAGACAGCTGGAACGGATGCAGTGGCAGCATACTTTGTCTCCTGTGGCGCGTTGATTTTTTTTTTTTTTGGCACCCATCCCTTCTCTCTGGAGCTTGTTGTCAGCTGAGACTGCAAGGACTTTGCTGTCAAGCTTGACTTAAACATTGAATTTCCTTGGTCGTTCTTATCTCTGAGTGTTCCTCATCTTGGCTTTGTTTGAGGAGATGATATCAGACCTTTTGTTTGGGATTAGCAGAATTAACCTAAGTGTGTCCTTTCCACACAGGTGAAATCGGTGAAAACTGGCTCGGTTTTTTGGGCCATCGGCTGCTGCCTCTCTTACTTTTACATGGTGAGTTTTCATTGGACTTTTTACCTTCAGTTGGTGTACTGCATTTCATTTCTGTGAATAACACTGGGTAACACCAAAGTAAAATACTCAGACAGTTTTTCCTGCCAATGCTTATAGGAAATTACACTACCGTTCAAAAATGTGGTGTCTAAGATTTTTTTTTTTTCTTATGCTCAACTGTATTTGTTGACATACAGTAAGAACAGTAATACTGTGAAATATTACAATTTAAATAACTGTTTTTATTTTAATGTTTTAAAATGTAATTTATTCCTGTGATGCAAAGCTGAATTTTCCGCAGCCATTTCCCCAGTCTTCAGCGTAACATGATCCTTCAGAAATCATTCTAATATGCTGATTTTGGTCTTCAACATGTATTATTATAATAAACATTCATTATTATTCATATTAATGTTGAAAACAGTTGTGCTGCATAATATTTGTTTCAGGATTCTTTGAGAACAGGATGACAAAGTATTAAGTTCTTTAAAAAAAGTCTTACTGACGACAAACCTATGAACGGTAGTTTATAGCGTGACAATTGTAGTCCAATTTGGTGATAAATGACAATTCTTTTTGCTGAATCAGTCAGAACGACTCAAATGAGTCGCACTTTCCACCGTTTTAGTTTAAGTGAATAAGTTAGGAATTAACATTTGATTCACTCATTGAACTGCAAGTCATTACTTGGTGTTATCAGGTGAATCATAAACTTTGTTTTATGTAAGGTTCATGAAACGTAAAACTGCGCAATTGCTATAAAATAATGTTGCGTAATATAATGTTAAAACAACTGTAATCGTTATCGTTAAGTGGAATCGTAATCTGAAACAGAATCATTAAATTATTATGATTCCCATCAGTAGTGTTGGGTGTTCTGGTCGCACATCTCCCTTGCTCTTTTTTTCAACCCATTAATGGGATGTGTAAAATAAATGAATAAACAAACACCACAATCCATCTTGCCACCCTGGTGGGGGCCATGCGCCAGTCGGTTATGAATATCAGCCATTTCTGAAACTTGAGATTCTTCCCCTGGAGGAAGGCAGCGCTCATTAATAATGGAAGCCTACAGCCCTGCCCAGCCCCCAATAATCTCTGGCTTTCCAAATGTGTTTATAAACATAAATGACACCAGTGCAATCTGAGCCATCTGCTCCATCAAGACCTTGGGGTCCAGCACAGTCCGACACGGCCTAGGGGCGCTACCGGGGGCATGAGTTGAGAGAGTCTCTCTTGAGCGGGACATTCTAAGTGACCTAGAAATGTGCAGAGGTTTCAAAGGCTGAGTGTGCTAATGGAGTTTTCTTGTAAATGTGATGTGTAATAGGGGTGAAAGTCAGCAGGGACCTGGACGATATGATATAACTTGGTCACGATACATTACGTTTCTTTACCTTTACTGTGTCGTTTTTGAAAACTGGTATATTGTAATCTTTTCCTCGCTTGTTTCTCTTTCATTGGCATTACACCGTGACTACATCAGATGAGAGCGGCACGACGTAACAAAAGACAATAGAAACCATTGTAATCAGTGAGTCCGTCTACTCTGGTTGCGGCGCCAAACGATAAATCCCAGAATGGGTTCTATTTCTGACATACTCCTGCTACTGACATGGATTTGCAATGGTTGCTTTGTCGTGCCAGTGTAGACGGCCTCAAGATGTTGCGATGTGACCGTGGTTGTGCCCGGTGTAGACATGGTTAGACTTTGGTGCTTTCGAGTATTTTCTAAACTTGTAATGATTTTGGTCGAAAAGGCGAACACTGGTGTTCACATTCAGTTTTTGTCTTTTGTCAAATGTCCTTTTTAATAGTTTTGTATTTTACTATTTTAATTTATATCAAATTTTATATTTTGTCAATGTCATTCATTAATTTTAGTCAGTTTTTCCTCTGACTCTAAACTCTTAACACTGTCTACACCGGACGCGACAAGACAGTAGAACCCATTATAATCGGTGATGCTGTCTACACTGGATGCAGCGCAACACGACAAATCCCTGACAGTAAACTGATGCCCCAACCTACTTTAAGCGCTCACACTACTTCTGACAAGAACAAATGGATTTGCAACAATCATTGTCTCATCCAGCGTTGACAGCCTCATGCTTTTGCTTTGCGACAACTGTTGTTAAATACAATGTAATATTTTTGTCAATGTCATTCATTCATTTTTCAGTCAGTCAGTTTTACTCTGAGTAAGAGTAAAGTATACTGAAATGACAATAAATTGTACACATTGTAAGACTAAACGTTTTTCTTATTATTCAAAATGTGAATTAAACTTCATATACTTATGAAGATTAATATACATAACATAAATACCCAATACACATCATTATTAGTATGTTGAAGTATTAGTTGCTTATCTAAAAATGTAAATGATTCTTAATGTGAAAACTGATACAATATCATGAGTTAAAATATTGCAATATTTGGAAGTGTGAAACACGACGTGTTTTGTATTGCAGGTGTCTGCATGGGGAGGATACGTCTTCATCATCAACCTGATTCCCCTCCATGTTTTCGTGCTGCTCCTTATGCAGCGCTTCAGCAGGAGACTGTACATCGGTGAGTCACCTGTGTTGTGTGTATGTTTGTGTGAGCGTCTCTGGTTCCTGTATGAAGTACACACTTCATCGCCCACACAATCACGCTGCGTAGTGCTTCTCCCGCACAATAATGAAGCGTGAACCAGCTTTTTCCCACTTGCTTTTTGATTTGGAAATGCTGAGACTCTTGCGCAGTCGTGGTTGCGAAGTGTTCGTCTATCTTCACATTGACAGCAGCATTTAAAGTTGACGTTTAATGACAATCTTTCCGCCCACTTTACTTTTTTTCCTTTTTTTTTTTTACAACCAATCATAAGCAGCGCTGTTCAGAGGGTACATGGATCTTCATGTTGCATAAAAAACCTTTGGCTCCACATCCGCAGTCTTAAATGACAAAACAACATGCTAACTGTGAATTAGGTCCTCTGCTAGCGTGAATAAGCTTGTCACTTCTGCAAAGTGAAAAAAAAGACACCAGTTCTTTTCCTTCAAGAGCAAAGAGTAATTTTTGGAGTCCTTCTTTGTCTTTGACAGATTATGCCATTTTTTTTAAGTGGATGAATAATTAAAGGTGCAATGTTTTTGTGAGGCTACTAAGCGAGCACTTTGATAAAAGAATGAGGCCTTGTGCCACTGGGCTAATTTTGTTTAAATCTTTATTAGCCTCTCACACTCTGCGCAGCTGCCCTGTGCGAAATGCACTACTGATGGATGCTGGGTATTAGCTCAGTTTGTCTCCGCTTTGGAAAGTTTTTGCACTTGCCGCAGGTCCCACTACATATTTGCCATGGCCCGACTCCACATGAGTATCACTGCTACCTCTCCTAATAGATCATACTGATTAGATTAAGTAGCACTGCTCTCGGTTTATGGGGCCAGTGCTTGAACAAAGAACAGCAGTCATGTTCAGAGATGGATGGAGAATGGTGTAAAACCAGTGGGATCTGGTTATTGCATTTCTGTTTCACCGTGTCTCCTCCTAGAGTGACGTTTTCTTTGCTAGCTAACAGTTTAAAGACTGTTTAATGTATATTTTGCCCTCAAAAATAGCTAGAACTATCTGGAAATCATGTCCAAACTGATTGGCTGGGTGATACTTGACTTTCTATGGTTTCCAAAGTTGGTGTTCCAGGTTAATAACATCAAATCAAGATATTCAGAGTTTTGTTTAAGGCTCTCAGTAATAAGCAAACTAAATTATCATTCAAAAGTTTGGGGTTGGTAAGATTATTTTAAATGTTTTTGAAAGAAGTCTCTTATGCTCACCAAGAAATCATTTATTTGATAAAACATACAATAAAAACAGTACAATTATGAAATTTTATTAGAATTTAAAAGGACAAGACAAATTTTAACATTATAAAATGAAATTTATTCCTGTGAAACAATGATACAGTTTTTGTAACATTATTAATGTCTGTACTGTAACTGTTTATCAAATTAATACATCCTTGCTTAAGCAGGCCTATGTATTTCTTAAAATAAATAAATAAATACTGACCTGAATTTTTTAACAGTAGTGTAGATATTGACAAGTAGGGCTGGGTACCGAGTTCGGTACTTTTTAGGTACCGACCGAATTGCCTCGATACTACCGAGTATCGAAACATGTCTTGTTTTTCGGTACCACATTTCGGTACCTAAGTGGTTAATCTCGTCAACGTCAGTGAAACAATAAGCATGCAGCATGATTGGCTGTGGCGGAAAAACACTAGTTTACGCGGCTGCCCAGAGACGCGGCTCGTCGCACGTGAGGCTGCAGTGTGTGTGCGTGTGTGTGTGTGTGTGTAAGCGTGCGTCCCAACCCAGATAGATAGAAAATATGTGGAAATGATCCAAAGTGTACCTATGTTATGTGCCAGACTCGATGCCAGATGCACGCGATGCAATATTTTCGACAAGATCATTGCTGCCAAGACCGGCAACACGGTAAATCTAGGCACTGAAGCGCACAAAACACACTTGAGAGTAATGGTGTTCACATCGAACGCGAATAGAGCGTCAAATACGCGTCTATCGCGTCTAGTTCGACGCTTGAATCTTCAGCTCGAGTTCAAATTTTTCAACTTGCGCGGAAGACGTTCGCGGCAAACGCGTCGTCCAATTCGCGTCATTCGCGACGCCCGGCGCGAATGATGCGTCTATTCGCGTCTTTGCATTGACTATGTATGTAATCTACTCGCACAAATAATTAAATTCGCGTTCGGTGTGAACACACCATTAGTAAACACTTGTTCATTAATAAACAATTAAAATATCTCCTTGCTATTGTTTCCACATCCATAATCATTAGGCTACTTTTGCCAGTGCTTTGCGGCAAGCTTCACGTGCAGGTATATATCCCGCCCCCCAGTAGCCTATATTTAATTTAATTCACATTTATTTGTATAGCATTTTTCACAATACATATCGTTTCAAAGCAGCTTTACAGAAAATGCATGTCTAAATTACAATTTAGAGTGATCTGTTATCAGAGGTGACCGTGTAATGCATTTCAATTAATTTTCATTCAGTTTCATCGTTAATTAATGCATTAAGTTAAAGCAGAAACAATGAGCTCATTGAAGTAAAGAATACATGTTGTTAAATGATTAGGAAACATAGAAAACTTTAGCATTGGTGCTTTTTTACATACTCAAAATATGAGTGTAAAAAAGTCAACAAACTGAAAAAAAAATTAGGTAATGTTATATTGTAAAACCTGGTTACATAAAATTGGTATCGAAAAAAGTATCGTTCAGGAACCGGTATCGAAGTCAAGGTATCGGTATCGGTATCGGTACCGAACATTTTGTTACGATACCCAGCCCTATTGACAAGTAGATCTGATGTACTTTTTTTTTTTTTTTTTTTTTTTTTTGAGGTAGTCATTACATCAAAATCTGAACTTTTTTTCAGGACTTTAGAGACCCATGACTTTAAGCTGATGCTATTGCACTGTTGTTTTACATCTTAGATAAACCTGCGTCAAATCATGGTTTTTGTTTTTACATGCTGTCTGACAGTCTCTTCCTGTTTAATTAGGTGTCTAATTTGGCCAGAATAAGTTGTGATGTGGACCAGATTTTAGTTAGATAATATGGCTCGGTGAGAATTTAGCCACTTTCCCACTGCAGGAAGTAATGCACATTTCAGAAACTTCAGAAGTAGTCCAACATGTCAGAATAGTTTTGAGTGTATTGACGTTATCCAAAGAGATTTTGAGTTGTCAATGTTCCCCGCTCTTTCGATTTGCATGTCACCTATCCATGTCTCATCTTAATAACACAAAACCAACAAAATATCTAAAAGAGTGTCTTCCACATTGTCCTTGGTGTTGCTACTATTGTGTCATGCACAGAAACGACACAAACTAGATTACGTCACCACAGGGTTCCCGTTATAGGTGCCGATGCAAGAGGGAAAAGTCTCTTCTGGTCTGTTGTTCCACTTCCAGGGAGTCCCTGTTGTAGGGAACCAGAACGTCCTGTTTAACTCTAGACCCTGAATATTTTGTCACTAGTTAAATCAACCCATTTAATCGCTGCTTTTCACCACCTCCTTTTCAGAGGTTTTTTCTTTTTATTTCTTTCACAAAACAGCCTGTCAGCTGTCCATGAATGAGGAAGTGTTTGTGTGTCTGGAGGGCTATGTGTGTATTGTCTCATTAGAGCATCCTATTTTGGAGTGAACATGTTCCAGTTTGGCCCTTAATTGATGCTTCTCAAAGACTGACAGCTCATAGTCACTTTGTCACAAGCGGCTTCGGTTTCCTCTACTGCGCAGCTGTATCGCCATCTCATGTACCCACATTCATACCTGGACCTCTCTTCTGACAGGCTGTCAACACCTGTCTCTCAGGTAGGGGTCCACTTCACGGAGCTGTCAGTCAAGTATCGCACAGGTGACAGACTGTTGCGGTTCCCATTCTTCTAAGAATGTCTGCTCTCCATCACTGGCGTGTCAGTGTTTTCTCACCGTTTTGTTTTTATCGTGCAGTATTTGTCACTTTGGATAATATGGGGACAGGTTGGAAACACAATGATAGCTGGTTTAGAAATGGAGGAATATATGTATATTGTGCACTAAAATAGCTTATTTCTTGATTTTGTGTCTGTTAAACTAAGTTCTAAGTGGCCTTTTCTTGGTAATGCAATGCAAGTAACCGCATTTTCAAGACTGTATTGATAAAACAGGCTGTTGCCCTGTGGTGATTTCAAAACGTTAGCATGTATTTTACTCTGTTTAATATGTGAGTTGTGATGTTAAATAAAGCATTAAAAACCCCAGAGTATTTCAGAATGTCAGCAGGAAACTTGCACTCATTCTCCTCTCGTATTTGAAGTTTCTACAACTGTACCACTCGTCCTTTGGCTGCATGCGATGAGGTATTTCTTGAGTCAAGAAAAAGTCGGAGTTTGCGATATATTTCTCCTACACTACCGCGAAACACTCGCTGTGGCTGGATGTGCTTAAATCTGCCGTATAAGAATGCTTTTGTCACATCACACATGCACACTTCAATAAGCCGACAGAATGCAGGTTAAGGTGTTTACATGGCGGGAGAAATCGGGGTATGTCGATCGATTTATTCTTAAGCTGTTTATGACCTAGATAGAGGAAAACTGTTTAAATCATTTAGATGACCACACGCTTTGTCTGCTTATAAAGCATTATTGGGTTAAGAACATGTAAACACACTCAATGTAAATCCAGGACCATCAGGAATTCATTAAATAGCTTCATGTCAGTTAGAAGTCATACGTTGCAAATTTTGGTGGTGCTTTAAAGAGACCTTTTTCATTTGTTTTCTTTGCAGAGACTCTTAGCAATTTGCAAATGGGGAAACACACAGGCAATTAATCATAAGGAACTAACAATATTAAGTGCCTTAATGCAGGATTTGGAGCGTTTGCATTAGGAGAGTGCAAAGTGAACCTTTTTTCTTTAAACATGGTTATGAATTAAGTATTACACTACTGTTCAAATGCTCGCCAAAGCTGCATATTTGATCAAAAATACAGTAAAACGGTAATATGGAAAATATTACTATTGTTTTTGTTTTTACATTTTAAAACAGTGAAATATAATTGTATTCCTGTGATCAAAGCTAGCTGTATTTTCAGCATCATTACTCCAGTCTTCAGTGCCTCGTGATCCTTCAGAAATTATTCTAATATGCTGATTTGCTGCTCGAGAAACGTTTCTTTATCAATGTTGAAACAAGTTGCTGCTTAATATTTTTGTGGAAATTTGTCTACCTTTTTTCATGATTAGTTTATAAATAAAAAGTTTGAAATTTTAATCTTTTGTAAATGTATTAATGTATTTTTTTTTCTGTCACTTTTGATCAATTTAATGCATCCTTGCTGAATAAAAGTGTTAATTTCTTTCCAAAAAATCTTACTGACTCTCTTGAAGTTTTGAATGGTAGTCTACATTATGCATCTAGCAGAAGTGACTTGCAGTCGAGGAACATAATCAATTGGTCTCAGGGATGAGGATAGTTTACCCAAAAAATGAAAATACTGTCATTTACTCTGCCTCATGTTGTACTAGACCTGCATGACTTGTGTATATATGTGGAACAGAAAAGAAGATATTTTGAAGAATTGAGCTGGTCGCTATTTTCTCTGCAGTTTTGGTAAATTAGGCATTTAAAAGAATGCAAAAGCACAATAAAAGCTGACTGATGCTCTAGATTCCATGTCTTCTAAAGCCATATAATTGCTTTATCTGAGGAACCGGCTAAGATTAAAGTCATAACTTTTTCAAGTCTTCAGAAAACTTGGAAATAAAGTTTTATAGACCAAATTCAAGTTACTTTTATGGTGCTTTTGTGTCGTGTTTTTTTTTTTTTTTTTTTTAAGCTTGACAGACTCACCATCAGTCACTGTTCGTTGTAATTGCATGGAAGACTGCGACTGGGACATTTTCTTCAGAATTACTCCTTTTGTGTTCCACTGAAAAGAGTAAGTCCTACGGGGTTGGAACGTAAGTCAATATTGACAGAATTTTCATTTTTAGGTGACCCATCCTTTTAAGTGCTCACATAAGAAAAGTCTTAAGTCTTTTTCTTTTCTTTTTTTTGAGACGCAATGACCATCTAGGGCTATTCTCACTTTCTTTGCTTCTTTTTATCTCAGCCTACAGCACCTTTTATATAGTGGGGTTGGTGCTGTCCATGCAGATCCCCTTCGTAGGGTTCCAGCCCATCAGGACGAGCGAGCACATGGCTGCAGCAGGTAAGACCGGTTTGCCTCCATTCTTCATTAACTGTTGCTCATTTACACTGATTTAAAAGCAGCACTCTCAACTCAAATCCATAAAGCCATGAGGGCAATCATTTACATCACATCCAATCAGCAGCAGTACTTCATGACCGTGTGTGAGAGTTAAGTAAATGGGCTAATGGATCATTTGCGTTTGCAGGTGTATTTGCTTTACTTCAGGCTTACGCCTTTCTGCAGTATCTGAAGGACAGACTGACCAGGCAGGAGTTCCAGACACTGTTCTTTCTGGGCGTTTCTATGGCTGCAGGGGTGGTTTTCCTTACTGTCATTTACCTGACTTACACAGGTGAGTGCAAAGGGACAACAGCTTAGGGCTGGGAAAAAAATCGATTTGATTTTAAAATCGAGTTGGTAGGTCAAATCGATTCATATTTAAAAAAAATCGATTTTTTAGATTGTTTTTCTCCCCCTCTTCAATATAGCGTACATACATTTTTGCATTCGCCAAATCTTCCTTCAGGGTTTCCGTAGCACGCTCCCTGCGGCGCAGTTCGGGTACGACAGTCAACACGATGAAACTCTCTCTAAGATGATTCAATGTTACTATTATTATACTTGATCTGTAGATAAAGGTCTATGGTTTCGCATAAAACAACTTTATATTGCTGGACTTTATTGCTGTAACTAAATCATGTTACTTTCTACCGGGTGTCGGTTAGATCACAACACTAGAGTAGAGTCAGAGCACTATAACTGTTCTTCACTCGCACAGTAATTGAAATTTAAAACTGTTAAAAGAAAAGGCTCAATAAACGATTGCATAGATAGATATTGTATAATACACTACGCATCAATATGTATTTCCTTTGTGCTTTGAACTTTTCAATGCGGACTCGACGCGCAGCGCGCTGTGACTCCGTGTTGCTTCAAGCGCATCATTCTGCTCTCGGGATGCGCATAAGCGCTTTGTGCCGCACTGTATTGGAGCCTTTCATATCATAATACTTTTGCGGAATGAGATTATTAATAGCCTTTCTTGTTCTGTCCTATCTTATCATATGTTGCTGCCTCATTAAATAGCTGTGCTAAACATTTAAAACATGTCTCAATTTTATAGTAGACTAGGCTATATAATAATTGATCTTTTTGATTTTTGTTATCTTGTTTTTCATGAATGTATTTTACAACAATACAAAGAGCAATGTGTAACATTTTACCAGATTTAGTGCTCTTATTTGTTCCCCACTAAATGTTTTTTTCACTAAATGTTCAGATTTTATACAATTATTGTGCACTTGTGACTAAATTTTACTGCTGAATTATCTACTAATCTAGTTTATAATAGCATTTTTGTCATAGATTATGATCATATATTTTTTGGATTTGTTGTTTTTCTTTATAATGAAGTTTTCTGTATTAAGTAGATTGTGTTTAACACACAAAAGAGTGATTATCAGTTCAACACAGAGTTATAGAAAATGTATAGAAAAAAATCGAATCGAATCGTAAATCGCAGATTTTTTTTTAGGGGAAAAAATCGCCCAGCTCTACTACAGCTGCATTTCATTTGAACAATTTAAAATCTCTGAATAAAAATTGAATTTTGAACTCATTTTCAAACTGAACTTTGGCCACAAATGTGACTTTTTTTCTTTTTTTTTCTGCCAAAAATGTTGACTTAAAATAGGTCTTTGCTTGGATATCAGTTAGGGGAGAGTGGGGTAAACTGTGCATCCTTTTGGGCAAGGAGAAGTGAGAGGTAAAAATTAATATTCTAATATCAGATGATAGCAAACATCCTGAAATAGAAGAAATCATCTATTACATACAAACATGGAGAAAAAAAGATAGCCTTACCCACTCAACCTTTTTGAATGGTCTTTTAAAAATTTGTAATTCGGGAATGTGAACCATTTATACTATCGTTTGGGGTCGTTAAGATTTTTAATAATCTTAGTTGTATGAGTCGCAAGATTATTCTCACCAAAGCTGCATTTATTTGATGATAAATACAGGAAAAAAGTAATATTAGGAAATATATTAAAATAGAAAAGTTATAACAAAAAAAGTTATGTTAAAATGTTTTTTTTTTTCTATGATCAGCCATTACTCCAGTGTCACATGATCATTCAGAAGTCTCTTATATGCTGCTTTGTTGCTCAAAGAATATTTCTTATTATTATCAATGTAAAAAAAAAAAAAGCTGTATTATCAATTTTGTAAACTGATTATGGTGAGGCCTATATAAATATTTGGTTACATGTTAAAAATGATGCCTGTTTTGATTTGATGGGTCTGGCACAGATTTATCCACTGACATATCTTACCCCACTCTCTATTGAAAGGTCATAACTGTCATAGGAAGATTTTTTTTTTTTTATGCCCCACTATTTTGCAAGATTGTCAGTAAATAGATTGCACCATAATAAATTGTCGCCCTGCGTGACTGATTTGCAGTATAAAAAGCTGGGTTTTTTTCCAGTGTAATATTAAAAAAGGTCCAGTGCTGTTTACTTGTCAGTTAGAGGACACAATGCTGATGGACTATGAAACACTTTTTTTTCCCCTCCTTCAACATATCACCCTTGATGGCATTGAGATGGCAAACTCTTTTATATTTCACCCTTGTCTAAATCATCCAAACCAAACAACTTTCAGTGAGGGAAGAAAAAAGAAAAACATCCACGTCATCGCATCCAATTCTCTGCCTTCTCACCTGAATACAGCGTGACTTCATGACCTCAGCCTCTTAACACCACACCTCTGCCGGCATATATGAAGTCAGGGTGATTTGCTTGTATTCCCGTCGTACCCGAGGCTTTCATTAATCTTTCTGCTGCAGGGTCTCGTCTGCAGAAGGCCTCTGAGATCTCATTAAACACTTCCCTCCGCTCGCCACACTGCTTTTCAAACTGAGCGCAGTCTCGCGGTGCAGATTAATTGAAAATGTTGCTGGCTATATGTGTGGTATTAAGGTTCACTGGACGTAGTCCAAGCTCATCAGCGCCTCAGAAGCTGCTTGAAAGTGCTCTTGAGTCAGTAATGGTCGGGTGGTTTGCGTGTGCCTGTTATCGTTTAATCACTCTGTTGTGTTCTTGTGCTTTTCAGGGTACATTGCTCCTTGGAGTGGGCGTTTTTACTCTCTCTGGGACACAGGGTAAGAATGCTGAATAGTTTACACAAACTATTTCTGAACACTTTTTTTTTTTTTTTTTGCTGCTCGGTCGTACAAGTGAGTTGCTAATAGCTCGTTAGCACACCCTGTTAAATGGCTTAACAACAAAAGAGCTGATTTTGTCACAGGCTCAAGTAGCGTGATTTATATCTGCATTCAGTTGATATTCATTCACACCACCAATGAAACCCCGCTGCTAGTGCACAAGCATGTGGCAAATTTTATGCCGTTATGACAAATTGAAATTGTTATTGTAATAACATTTTTGGGAGGGATTAATAGAATTTAGTTTAATCTCACAAAAGAGCCCCTGTGGTGAAAATCAAGTTTTTAATGTTTATATGTCTATGTGGCGTTTCAAATATGCTTAAAGACAAACACCATTGCTGAGTATTTTCTCCTTAAAACTGCAGTGAACCAAAAACACAGTTTGAAATCTGCCTTGTTCTCTTCTACATACAAATATGTTGTTTAAATGTCATTTTGGTGGTCAAAGATGAGTTTTAAGGGATACAATTATTGACTACAGGGGGACTTTAAGAAATGTCTCGGTCATATTTCACCCCAGAATCATAAAATAAATCACAATTTTTGATTAGTAGTTTGGTTGAATCTCATTGTTTATTTTATTAAAACATAAAAAAAAAAAAAAAAAAAATTAGGTTTGGTCTGCTACAATGTATTGCTTTATAATGTGAGGTTAACTTAATATACAAGTTTAATATATGCAACATAAACATGTCTGGGTCACATTTCTTTACAATTTTTTTTTTTTTTAAGGTGTTCATGACCATAATGTCTCTGTTTTTCTTTTCTTATTTTTTCCAATAATATTCATTACTGTAATATCGTGTTCTTTATTACTAAATGGGAATGTAATTTAGCATAAATAATTGTACAACAGCCACATGTATAAATAGTCATTTTAAAAAGTTCAAATTATATACTTTTTTAGATTACAGTACAGTTTGATTGATGTATTTGTATTCTAGAAATTAGATTTTGGAGGGGAAATCTGCTCAACTGTCCAGAAAATTGTCACAATGCAAAAAAATCGTATCAGTCATAAAACAAGGCTTGATATAAACAAAATCATGTTGATTTTGAAGCGAAATGAAATTGGACCCAAACAATTCCTCAGCAGATTTCATGAGACTCGCACATTTCCATTTAAAAACTAAAGAAGGTAAAATCCTGAACTGTTCTTTAAGTAATTTGTTGCTGTTTTAGATATGTTATATCTGTAGATCAAGACCTAAACAGTCACCTAAATGGTCAGTCACATTTGCTCTCTTAGCTGCATGAAAAACTACTTATTTTAAAACTAATATATATATATATATACACACAGGAAGCTGACAAAGCTAGAACATTCCCATCCCATTGCAATCAAGCTGTCACTGCAAGTGTTTGAGCTGTGCAGTTCAGCGCGAGTTCTCATGAAGCGTTCTAGTTTTGTCACATCACTCACTTGCAGTGTATTTTGGGTGTTACAACAAGTATGGTGAAAGTTGCTGCTGTGACATAAAACTTTCCAGGACTTTAATTTGTGTATCGCCACAAACAGAAGTGAAACAGATCAAACAGCTGTGGACCTTGAAACACGCTCAATAGGACAGGTTGTCGTTCCTGATAGGCCTGTATAGTAATCTTGATTATTTATTCAATTATTTTGGGAGCCCTGCCGGTATGGCAATGTTTGTACCTTTTTACTTTGCAGCCGCAAAACCGTTTGCTTTTTGCCGGCTGCTTTTTGTTCTTTGCCGTCAGTGAAACGTCGCCCATCATAAATTCATAAATGTGTAACTCCCTTAATGCAGCAGCTCTGCAGGGAGACCCACAGTCCTGTCGAGCTCTCGCTGTGCGCAGTCAGCCATCTGCGTTTCAGTCAGCACCTATTCGGAAGGTCAGGTCGCCAGATAATGATCACTAGAACACTGATAGTCACCAAAATTGAGCGCAGTAATGCAGCAAAATTGAGAGGAAGAACAGCAGCGCAACTCCACAACAAGCAGACCTGTTTTAGCACAAACTGGGAGGTTTTCGCTTGCCCAAAAGTATTGACATTGTTTCACTTACTAGGTTTTGTTTCATTTCTTTTTATAATGCAAACTTTAGTCCTTAGAGCGTGACACTTTTTTTTGTTTGCGTTTGAAGTTGCTTTTTGCGGATCTAAAGTTGGCTTTATTCTTCAAAGAGCTGTTTTGATATGGATTTTGTGGACGCTTTGCTCTCGAAACCGACACAACCCAATGGAGCTCCTTTCGGAAACATTTCTGAGATGGGTTTTTAAGGCAATATGAAATTAAAATTGAATTTATGATGTGTGACTGTCTTTGTAATCTTTCATTTTTGTTCTTCCTCTAAAACGACGTGTCTTTTTGTCTGACGTCACCTGGGTTGTGCCAGCTTAGTTCATGTTAACCAAGAGCCAAACAGATGTTTTGGTGTTAATGTGAGTTTCATTTGCAACTTTTTTACATAGCAAGTTAACAAAGCCCTCCCTGCTTGTTATCCTCAGATATGCAAAGATCCACATCCCCATCATCGCATCGGTGTCAGAGCACCAGCCCACCACCTGGGTCTCCTTCTTCTTTGACCTGCACATCCTGGTCTGCACCTTCCCAGCAGGCCTCTGGTTCTGCATCAAGAACATCAATGATGAGCGAGTCTTTGGTGAGCATGTGTAATGTCATTGCATTCACCAGACGACGTGCCTGTATTCGGTTCCATTCATGTTGATTTGTATAGCGCTTTTCACATTGTTTCAAAGCAGCTTTACAGAAAATGCATGTCTGTTACCTTCTCAACTCAGACATCTTGGCTTTCTTGTTGCTTTTTTTATTTATCAGTATTTCTTGATAGATTGACTGTTGACTTAACAATTATTTATTTATGTGATACATATTTAATTTATTTAACACGAATTAAAACCTGCTAAGGGGTAATTAAATATAACAAATCATGTAAAAAAAATAAAATAATAAATGGAAAATGAAAAACCTGTCAAGTTCATAATATATATTACATTAGCAAACGAGTCAAATTGGACGATTACCAGGGACTCATCTCAACATGAAAAAAAAAAAAAAAAAAAAAAAAAAAATGGAAAGTGAAAAACCTGTCAAGTTCATAATATATATATATATATATATATTACATCAGCAAATGAGTCAAATTGGACCATTACAGGGACTCATCTCAGCTCACTCATTTAACAGTCCATCTATTGCCAAAATTATGAACAAATGATCAGTCAAAATATTGAACGTATTCAAATCAGAAATGGCAGAATCAGAATGTGTAGTTTGCTCATAAAAATATCCGTCAAAACCAGCATGTTGAACAATGTTCACTTACCCGGTGAATTTTTTTCTATTGAATTGCCGTTTATTCTCTTTAACATGCAGTGTGAAGTATTTCACTCAGTTCCCTGATCATTCCGATTCAATTTCTGCTAGTGAAGAACAAATTTATTTCCTCACTTGCGTTATGTATTAGGTACGGTATCGTCTCTGACAGAAAGCATGTTGGAGCCGCTCAGGCCGCCATTTTTTTTTTACCCTCTTCTCGGGAAGCGATGACAGTCAAAACATCCAGTAGTGTGTTCACTTCCTGAACCTCTGCTTTTTGTAAATACTACCTTGTATTGTGCATGTTATTTTTTTGACAGACATCTATGTCGTGATATTAAAATGATGTGGTTTTGAAAACATGTATTGTAAGGTAATAATTATTTCTTAGCCCGCAAGTATTCAGTGATTGATGCCCCCATGAGTGTATTATGTCTGTTTTAAGTTCTAATTTTCCAACCGACAGCCAGTCTAAGTTTTTGACGGACATGCTAACGTGCATAAGGTGTAAACTGTTTGATTTTTAGGTAATTATTTGATTGACTTTTGAAAAATTAAGTTCCGTTTTTACCAGGAAAGGAGTGGTTTTGATGCACAGTTGTTTTTATTCTCAATGCGGATCCTATTGTAAATAATACTGAAAAATCGCTTTTTAAAACTGTTCCATTATTACCCTTTAGCATATTTTGACCCACATATATAATTATGAAATGTATATTTATTTAATAACTATTTAATTTATTTACATATATTAGTTAACAAAATATCAATCCACACAAGCATTTTACAAATATATTATTATTGTTATTCTAAAACTTTTTGAGGACTCTGTCATTCGGTTGATGTCTTTGACTTTTTTTTTTTAAATACAATATTTCTCCCACTAACCTTGGAATCATTTTAAGCCTTCATTTATAAAAGTCTTCATAAAATAATGATCTATAGAATTAAAAATATATGAAATGTTATCAGGGTAAATTCCACTGTCTTTTCTGTAAAAAAGAAAACCTAAATTTTGAGTCTCCAGAAGTGCGACTAAACATTCTCGAGCTTATATCTCTCAGCAGGCTGTTTATTCTGAACAATATTACAATGTGGTGATTGTATCCAGTTTGTACTTGAGAACACTCACTGCTATTTTGATGTTTGCTATGAGCATCTCAATTTGTGGAGGCGCTTGGGAACAGAATGCATTGAATTAGTCTCAGTCCCCAGAAGAGTTTGTTATTTTTCAACGGCTGTCATGGAGTTACTGAAGTCTTTCAGTAGAATAAACAAGGGAACTTGAACAGACGACATGTTGCTACATGTTTAAAGGCCCACTTCCGTGTTTTTCGATTTCTCTCTGGAGTTATCCAGTACAGAACTATAAACATTACACTGCAGTGCTACATTGTCTTCTGGAATCATAACTGCTGTTTTCTCCATCGCCCCCTAGTGGCTCTATATGCCATCAGCGCAGTGTACTTTGCTGGTGTGATGGTGCGTCTGATGCTGACACTCACCCCAGTGGTGTGCATGCTGTCAGCCATCGCCTTCTCCAGTGTGTTTGAGCACTACCTGGGCGATGATATGAAGCGCGAGAACCCACCGGCTGAAGACAGCAGTGATGAGGACGACAAGAGGAATCAGGGGAACCTCTATGATAAGGTGAGTGAAGGGTCAAAGGTCAGGCCAAGGACCCCTTGGTGGATAAAATGTCGCAGTTTTAAGCCTGCCTTACAAAACCGTGCATGGTACCAAATTAATGAATTTAAATAATATATATAAAATGATGATAATTATTATTGTCATTGTTCATGCATTTAAATATTTATAAAAAATGATCATTGTCCTTGTTATGATTATTATTATACTATAATAAAGCATCATTATATATTTAATATAAACCTTTTAAATAAAATCAAAATGATGATTATTATTATTATAGCTATGATTACATTTACATTTAATCATTTAGCAGACGCGTTTGTCCAAAGCGAAATACAAAGGAGAATAAAAGAACAACAATGTTTATTGCAATGTTTATGTGATTATTCTTATGCCAATTAGTTTAATAACTTTATAATATTTATGATGTATAATATTGCAGTATTTTATGTAACTATTTAATAACTAATATTTTAAATTGAATAACTATTATTAATATTATTATTATTATAACAACTCTAATGACTTTTTGACAATAGTTTGAGATCAAACACCAGACCCCTGTTGAAGACACTGTTGGTTTATAGGAAATGCTTTGTTGTTACTGAGAACAGAATGGTGATTGGTGGGTAGCTTGTTTGTTAGCTCATCTGTATTTTGTCTGATCGGTGTGTCCATGTGCATTTGCAGGCCGGCAAAGTCCGAAAGCACGTGTCGGAGCAGGACCGGCCAGAAGAGGGTTTGGGCCCCAACATCAAAAGCATTGTTACCATGTTAATGCTGATGCTCTTGATGATGTTTGCGGTGCACTGCACGTGGGTCACCAGCAACGCCTACTCCAGTCCCAGTGTAGTGCTGGCATCATACAACCATGACGGGTAAGGGCACCTTCATGTGGCCTATTTCTCGTTTAAAAGGAATATTGGAGTTATCGATTTTTCCTCATTCCAGATCACGCAACATTCTGGACGATTTCCGTGAAGCGTATTACTGGCTCAGGCAGAATACAGATGAACACGCTCGAGTCATGTCCTGGTGGGACTACGGATATCAGATAGCCGGCATGGCCAACCGCACCACGCTGGTGGACAACAACACGTGGAATAACAGCCACATAGCACTGGTGAGGACAGACATTACAATGGGGGTTTAAGGTTAAGGTTAAATGTAGAAGAAGAAATGAACTGCTTTTGACATGGTATCAGTGCTTGGTCTCAGTAGCGCCATCTTGAGGACACTGAAATATCGCCATCTATATTCTGTTCCTTCTGCAGGTCGGTAAAGCCATGTCCTCCAATGAGAGTGCAGCCTATGAGATAATGAAGTCCTTGGATGTGGATTACGTTCTGATCATCTTTGGGGGAGTGATTGGATACTCAGGCGACGACATTAACAAGTTCCTGTGGATGGTGCGCATCGCTGAGGGGGAGCATCCTAAAGATATCCGGGTCAGTGTCAATGTCAATCCATGTCCAGTGTGCTATATTTTTGTAATCATTATAGATTAGGGATGGGCAATTATAATTTTCATTTATATACATATATATTTAACAACAATTTATAATTTTCTTTTGGTATAAATGTTTTCTTTTTTCTGAGAATAGTGTATTTGTAAAGGTAAGGGGATTAGTTGTTTTATTGCATTATTGAATTTGTAATAAAGGAAAAGATTAGAGATGGGCAGGGATTTGTCAGCTAGTTCAAGTTTTTTATTTAATATCTACAATTTTTTTTAGCAATTATTTTATTAGATGTCTGGTGTGCTATATCTAGTCATAGATTAGGGAAGGGCAATTATAATGTTCTTTTAATTTTTTTATTTTTTTATTAAAAATGTATAATTTTCTTTTAGTATATTGTTTTTGTTTTTACTTTATTTATTTCCCTTTATTGCTCAGAATAGTGTTTCTGTAAAGGTAAGGGAACTAATTGTATTGTATCATGCAAAAGTTTTTTTTTTTTTAGTCTAAGGGTCTGTTCACATGACATCGTTTTCAACTAAGGGCCGGAAAACTGTTCATTCTTTTTGCCTGTACATTTACATGACAAGTGCACGTTTTTGAAAACGAGACCATTATCGCCTCCGTGTTAACTGAAAAAATGTGAATTTGTGAAAATGCATGTTACTTGTTCAGTCCATGGGTGACATCACCAACTACTGGCCTGGTAGCATAATGCAGCATTTTGAATCGTTTTCGTGTATCCGTGTGAACGTTGACGACGTTGTCATCTGTATGTGAAAAACTTTGGTTTGGCATTGAAAACAAAAACCAGTGTTTTTGTAGCAGTGCTGTAGAGCGAATGAGCTTCTCTGACAGGGTTTGATCATGCTGATGGTGTGCTGTGCTTTAGCATGCTGTTAGACTGTCACGTTAACTCTCTCTGAGATGCTGCGTCTCTAAATGAGTCCTCTTTAAAAACGCTCCGCCGCTACAGCAATTAATAAAGCTTTATGTAACATTCACTGTCTTTTACAATACATTTCAAGACAGTTACGTTGATGGGCTTTCAGGTCGCCCACAGTGAGAAATGTATATTATACATAATTCACATGTTTCTGATATTTGCTGTTTTTTTTGAGGTGTCTTTTTGTTCTTTTGTAGGAAAGTGATTACTTCACACCGCAGGGAGAGTTTAGAGTGGATAAGGCCGGCTCTCCCACCCTGCTCAACTGCCTGATGTACAAGATGTCTTACTACCGCTTTGGGGAAATGCAAGTGAGTAGTGCTTCCTTTTAATTCAGGTGGTCTATACATTAATTGTGTTGTAACAACAATGGCTGATCCTTTAGCTATCACCATTGTGCCCTTTTGATAGTGTAGTAATGTGTGTATATAGATCAAAACTAACAGCAAACGCCTCTCCCACAGCTGGACTTCCGCACACCCCCTGGATTTGACCGGACACGGAACGCAGAGATCGGCAACAAGGACATCCGTCTGAAACACTTGGAGGAGGCGTTTACCTCTGAGCACTGGCTGGTGCGCATCTACAGGGTGAAGAAGCAAGAGAACCGACAGGCTCTGGACCACAAGCTCCGCAACATCGCAGCCAAGCAGAAGTACACCTCAAAAAAGGTTCTTCCCTCTAGATTCCATTAGAACAGCAGCATTATTTAATGATGTGAGACTGTGTAACTTGAGAGTTTTTAATACTTAATAGAATTAAAGCTAAATAGGGGCATTTGTAGTCATTTTCAGGAATGTTCTTAATTGATTGACTTAAATGATTAATTGATCATTTATTTAGCACAAAGTGCCTGTTAAAGGGATGGTTCTCCCAAAAATGTCTGTTATTTATTCACCATCCAGTTGTTCCAAACCCTGAATGAATTTTTTTCTTACAAATTAAGTTATTTTCAAGAATATGGGTAACCAAACAGTTGATAGACCCCATTGACTTCCATAGTATTTTTTTCCCCATACCATGGAAGTCAGTGGTGTCCATCAACTGTTTGGTTTGGTTTTTGTGTGTAAAATGGAGGTTGTGATTTTCCTATGATTCTGAAGAAAAAAAGAATTCACAACTAAACAAAATAACATGCAAATTAGAGGTTCTGACAACATTTGGTTCATTTAAAAATATATTAATTTAAAAAAAAAAAAAAAAATTGAATGCGAGTCAATTTCGATTGTTTTTGTTATTGGATGAATCAGCGTTTGTGAATAAATCTTTAAAATGAATGATTCAACGACAAACTTTTTGAAACACTCATTTGTCGCCACCTCCTGGCATAATGACAGAATTGATCTTTTTTGGGGGGTGAACTATCCCTTTAAGGTCCACCATGTAGCCTTTTAAATAAATGTAATTAATCAAATTAATTGTTATAATAATAGTTTTGAAATAACCGATCATAACAGGCAATTGCATATGTAATTAACTTGTTTCTTTTCATGGTTCACAGACAGCCAAAAGGAAGAGGGGATACATCAAAAACAAGTTGGCTCTGAAAAAAGGCAAGAAACTGAACAAGAAGTCTGTTTAGCTATTGAATGAAAACGTTGAGAATGGAAAAAGAGGAAAACAAAAGACAAGGACAAGTGCAACTAGTAAGTAATCCACCAATCAAAAAGAAGAACAAACATGTTGTCTGGCGCCGCCCACCTGAGAACGTTTGATTGGAGGCTGTTGGTCCTGCGATTGCCATGATGATGCGGAGGTTCCATGAGCGTTTGGAGGATGGGGATCTGCACCGCAGTTTTAATCTGACAACTCTGGACTTAATTTGGTCTTATGTTCTTTTTTTTGTTGTTTTTTTTGCTTTTTATTTTGTACTTGAATATGCCGGTGAAGCGAGAGCGCTGCCCGTGTCTCAAACAGCAGGCACTATTTTTGTGGTACAGTTTGATATAATACAACCGAATGCTAAAACAACCAACAAATATGAATTCATTAAGCTCAGTGAACCTTGGAGCACCAAAGAGATTTTTTTTTTTGTCTTGTTAGAGCCTGTGATAAATTGTTACCTTTTGATTATAAAAACCATTAAAAAATCAAATCTGAGGAATATGGAGCCGTCTGCAGTGCGACAGCCACTAAAATGCTCTCTTGGTTTTAACTGTTATCTGACAAACCCGGTTTCTATGTGACAATGCAGTGGGGTCTTTGTGGCTCTGAATTTGAGGGGGGTTTTTTTCTCTTTTTCTTTTTTTTTTAAGGCAAACACTGCAAAGGACTCGATTATTAGTAAATGTTTAACTGTTGTGGTGATTTTTGAATATAATTTTGTTTGTTACATAATTTTGAATGTTTTTGGTTTGTTTTTCTATTTGGTTGTAAGATTTTATGCAATAATTCTAAATTCAAATGAAGAAGAATCCGCTTTTATTTCCTTTATTGCTCATGTGTTTTGTCCAGAGGGGGCGCTGTGGCTTGGCATCTCCTGCACACACATTTGTGAAGATCAGATGTTTTTTCTTGGGCCAATTAGAAATCAAAATTTTTCTCCCTCTTCCTAAACAACTGTCTGCCAGGACAAAGAGTGAATTGAATTAGTTGTAGGTTTATTAAAATGCTGCATTACTAGCCTGAATGCACTTTGTCTTAGTTCACCTTAATGTGGATCCACTACTGAGTAGCATGCAGGTGGAGAGTGCGTCTTTTTAGTGTGAATATTCCAATTTTTTTTTTTTTTTTTTTTTCTTCGTTGAAAGGGTGCTTCCTACAACATCCAATGGGTTTTCTTTGATTTCTGGGCTGCCATTTAAACTTTTCCCCTCTTCGTTTTCTGCCTTTCTGGTTTTCAACCCTACGTGTATTGCTTTTGCTTCATCTGTTTTTTGTAAGATAATTAGAAGGAAAATTGTTTTTTTCCCCTCTTCTCCACAACATATCCATATTATTCTTCTCAGAGGGCTCTGAATCTTAGGAGAAGGTATTTATTAATAAGAATGAATTTGAAGTTGAGAAGAGGAAGCTTTTCATCCTGAAATGCAAAAACTGTATTTGTTTTCTTTTTCAAGTGAAAATTTATTCCATAAATTGTAAAATAAAGTTAAAAAAAATAATAATTAAAAAGAGCGAGAGAAAGGCAAAGATGCTGTTTGTGAGAATGAGTTTATGCCATTTGTGATTAAAAGAATTAATGAAAGAATCTGCCTTATCCATGTCTGCTTTCAAGAAATGTTTTCCATTTTGTTTGTAGTCTAAATACTATTTCTGTTAAAAGTAAAAAAAAATGCTCCTATTGTATTTTTTTAAAAGTTAATATTTATATTATACCTTAATATTGTTTTGCTGTTCTCCTACAATAGGTTTACATGTATCCAAGGTAAACAACACTTTCATAATATACACTGCAGCATCACCTCTTTTCTCAGTGTCTGAAATGGTTCAGAAAGGATCCAGTCTCTCTAAACCCCTCCTTTCCAAGAGCTTCCTCTGCTCTGATTGGTCAGACGGCCCAGTCTGTTGTGATTGGTCTACCGCTTACAGTGCGAGTCATAAACCAAACCCTACATTACCATATCTGAATTTCAGCTACCTCAGCACTTGTATACATAATGGCTTCATCTGAAATCACATACTCTCTTGAATAGGTACTTATCTTGAACAGTTACTTAACGACCAATAAATAAAGTATGTTCTATTATGAATGTAATCTGGAAGTACTATGCTGTCATTATGTGACCTACCAGGGTCAGTTGTGTCGCTTCCCTGCTATTCTTCTCCTGTGGCCTCAAGGGATTGTAAAGTGTCCATCCTACGCACACTTCAGAATCTTGCTGGTAGTAGTAGGTCAACTGGGTGCTTTTTGCCTACTCTTTTATGAGTACTGTGAATTTAGACAGTGTCACATACTGTTTTTCACCTACTATGTAGTAGGGAAGTATGCAATTTTGGCAGGGATAGTGCATTACTTTCACAGCTCAGAAAAGAGTGTCTTCTCAACATGTCGGCAATGTGAACCAAACTCTCAGGGCTCAGTAACAACTACCGTGTTTGTTTGAGGGTCAAAGTAGATGATGTCATTAGGTGATGACCATAGGCTGCCATTATGCAAATTTGTTCAAAGCCTAGTGGGTTTGTGCAGGAAGACTGGAATTACTGACGACTCATTTTAGGCAGTTCAGAATCGTTCTTTTCTTTTGGGAGACAATAACTCCATTGTCTTGCACTTTAATCTTTGAAACTTTGTAGACCGTTTACATTCACAAATATCTAGATATCACACCACTTGAAAGGTAATATCCGGAAAGGCATTATGATCACTTTAAACATCTGCTCAAGTCCATCTGTACTGCATTGGTGCTGCTCTACAAGTGTCCACTAGGTGGCAGCTCTAGCACATCACACCAGGGACGCGGTCAATATCTGCCGCCTTCAGAACTTCTTATGCGAATCAGATGAGCTGTAAATGTCATGTGACTATCACTCTGGAAAAGTGCGTCATGATAGCAGTCTCAAGCGAATATTTTCATCAAGGCAGGGGAAAAAATGATTTTAAGATGACGACATTCTAACTAGGCAAACCGTAAACCTTTGCATCATCTTTGTTTACTCCGTTGATTTCTCATTCAGATGTAGCTGAGATCACGTTGAATTGGTTTTCATATGAAATCTGAATATATGAAATCTACTTTAATAATCTTTTCTCCCAGTTTTTATATTCCTGATGTGTAAATATGTCGGTTACATAGCTATTTAAATTGCTTGCTGGCTGTTGACCTTTCCTTACTATTTCCACATGTGAAGTGTACTAGCCTACACTCAACTTTGGCAGAAGTTTCTTTATTTTAAACAGTTTTTGGGGGAAGTCATCCAGTAGAATCACAGTGCTGCGTTGAATCTGTGCTAATGGAGTGTTTTAATCAAAACTCAATACCTTATGTTCACTTGCACAGACAGAGATAAGCTCTGCATGTCTGTCTCAGTCAGGCCCTCAACACACATCTTCATTCAGTTAAGACACTAGGCCAATTATGGAAGTCACAATTACAAAAAGGAGCAAGTTACATAATTGGATGTGGTTGACTTTACCTTATTTAGATGATGTGCATGATTAAGATCTGCAAAATCAAATCAGTTGAACTGCTGTTTATTACATTAGATAAATTGTAGCCTACTTTCCATGAAAGCTGTAAACGTTGGGGTCCAATTACTTTTTTTAAGCATTCGAGGCATGGTTCATTTTATGAATAATAATAGATTATGTAACAATAACAAAGCATGAACAGTAGCTAATTTTAAACACAACAAATGTCTATCCCACCTTGCCATGATTTTGAATGATCAACCCCACAACCATTGCTCAAGGATCAAGCAAATTTTTGTCATTATGGGAAATGTAAGTTTCAATAACTGACATTTGGTCCCAAAATATACCTATTCAAAATGCTTCATGTAGCTTAAATTTGTAGCACTGTTATTATTATTATACATATTTTATATGGATACATTTTGACATGTATTTAACTTTTATTTGAATAATAAAAAAATAAAAAGGATTTAAAACTATTTAGACACTCCCCAAAAATGACAAACCTCATAGAAAATAGAAAAGGTTAATGATCTGAGGTTGATCTTTTTTTTTTTTAAAGGTTAAGCAACTCTCCTTTCAATGAGCATTTGTTGAGAAAATAGGTCTCATTTCGCACCCTATTAAAACAACTAGTGTAACATAGTTTTTAAAAATAAAATAGAATCGGTGCTGGGTAGAAACTGAATACATGAAATCTGGATTACATAATCAGATTCCAGATATGTAGTAATTGTAATATTACTTTCTAAAATCCTAAATCAGATTACAGTTACTTTATTATGAATTACATATTATTCACACAATAGCAGTAAATTATTAATTATTAATATATTCTCCCTAATTCTTCTTTTTACTCTTTTAAATGTTCTTTTAAATAAAAATCCAACTGTGTGTCATACCGTATAGCTTTATTCACAATATAGAATGGCCATGTAAATAAATTTGTGATGCTTCTAAATTTGGGGAGAAAAGCATGTATGAGATGAATAATTATGCAAGTTACTAAACACTGCTGATATATAGCTGTGAAACACTGTGTCTTCACCATATCCATATACTTTTACGTGAAATATCCTGATATGTTAATTTAATTGGCACATTTAAGTTAATAAACACTTGCATGTTGACAAAATAGTGTATTTTGAGAAGAAATTAAATTGTCAAAAAGTCAAATTTCAAAAGAGCAGCTTTTTAGAAATCAACTTTTAACTTTTAATCAGCATTTAATGAATAGTTCAGATAAGTGGCTGAAAAGCATGCATATCACTGACCTTGCTAAATCATAAAGGAAAATCAAATGATTTTAAAATCCATTCCTTCAAATATCAATTTTATTCTTTCTTCAGGTGTGAGAGACTCGACTGAAGCACAATACTGTCATCGAATGGTAAGATAGATTCAGTCATTCAAATAATACATAAGAACATGAGGGTGGTGAGGTCACTTGAACATTAATACATACTCCTCACATACTATAACCAGAATGCTCTATGGTGTTCTAAAATAATAGCTATCGGTTATTTGTGTTATACTCTGA